TTGCCCTTTGTTTATTTTGACACTTTGAACTTTGTCCGGGACATTACTCTAAAATTATAAGAGATATTAACATGAAACTTTGTAGATAGATAGGTCTCATTGGGTAGAAGTGCAGTGCTTAAGAATCATTACTCTGCCTTGCCTTATTTTGAAGTTATTGCCCTTTGTTTATTTTTACTTTTTGACTTTTGTCTGGGACATAACTTTAAAACTATTAGAGATATCAACATGAAACTTTGTAGGTAGCTAGATATCATTGCTTAGTACTGCAATGCTTAAAGAACCTAAACAAAGCCTGGTCTAATTTTGGAGTTATTGCCCTTTGTTCATTTTTACACTTTGAATTTTACCTGGGACATAACTCTGAAACTATAAGAGATATCATCAGGAAACTTTATAGATAGATAGATCTCATTGAACAGAAGTGCAGTGCAAAAAAACATTACTCCGCCTTGCCTAATTTTGGAGTTTTTGCCCTTTGTTCATTTTTTTATACTTTCCTGTGTCCAGAACCTTCTCGGGGAGCATCGCCCGGTTCAACCGGTTCTTGTCTTTCATAGTTTTGTCTTCCATACTGAGTCCAGTTTTTAATTATTCGAGCTTTGCTGTCTCCTGTGACAGCTCTTGTTGTTCATACAGCCTTTAATTTTAAATTAATGTGTTTTCATGTTTAATACTGACATGTCTTTGGAGGTCCTCTTCTTTTGGGTTTTGTTAGGGGTCATTTGGGTTCAAGTCACCAATGTCAAAAATAGCGAAGGATTTTAAACTAACATTGCATAAATGTCTACAATATCAAGACGATGTGTTGCATCCAAGAATCATGTCCCTGCCTCAAAGGTCAAGGTCAAACTGACATTTTGAATTTTCACTTTATCACTTTTAGAGTTTATAGGTACACACATTCGTTTCAGACTGTAACTTTGACATGCATCGAAGGAATTTAAAAATAACAAATGTCTACCACATCAAGACAATGTGTTGCTGCTAAGGCTAATGTCTGTCCATGCGTCCCCACTTTCACGACAGTCGAGTCCAGAATGTAACTTTGTCATGCGTTGAGGAATTTTGAAATAACTTGGCACAAATGTGTACCACATCACTATGTTGTTGCATCCAAGAACCTAGTCCCTTCTTCAAAGGTCAAGGTCACACATACATTTTGAAGGTTCACCCAACTACAATAAGAGATTATAGGTACACACATTTGTTCCTGGACTGTAACTTTGTCATGCATCAAAGGATTTTAAAATAACTTGGCATTAATGTCTACTACATCAAGACGATGTGTCAAGTCCAAGACTCATGTCCCTACCTCCAATGTCAAGGTCACACTTATAATTTGAAGGATGTACACATTCCTGTCCGGACTGTAACTTTGTCGTTTATTGAAGGATTTTTTAATAACTTGGCACAGGTGTCAACCACATCCAGGCAATGTGTTGCGGCTAAGGCCCATATCACTACCTAAAAGATCAAGGTCACACTTAGAGATTGGATGTATACATTTGTGTCCAAACTTAAGCTTTGTCATGCATGGAAGGATTTTAAAATTACTTGACACAAAAGTCAAACACATCATGGTGATGTGTTTCATTAGTCAAAGGTCAAAGTTTGTTAATCAAATGTCAAGGTCACACTTACATTTTGAAGGTTTCATATTCTCACTAGAGTTCAAAAGGTATACTTTGTGTCTGGACTTACTTTTTATGCAATGAAGGAATTTTAAATAACGTAGCATATAATGTCTACCACATGAAGATGACATGTCGCGTTTAAGACTTATGTTCCTACCTCCAAGGTCACTCTTACAGTTAGAAGGTTTTCATTTTCTCAAGAAGAGTTTGAAGATACACATACATGTCCAGACTGTAAAAAACTTTATCATGCAAAGTTTTAAGTTTTAAAATAACTTTGCACAAATGTCTACAACATCAAGACATGTTGTAAGACCCATGTTCCTATCTCCAAGGTCAAGGTCACTCTAATAGTTTGAAGGTACTTATGCTCATAAGAAGAGTTTGAAGGTACACATTAGTTTCCAAGGATTTTAAAATAACTTGGCATAAATGTCTACCCCATCAAGATGATCACATCTAAGATGGTCTTGGTTTTTAGCATATACTTTTTAATTATTTAGAACTTGTTTAAGGTCCTTTTATACAAATTTAGAATTGTGATATGTTAGATAAAATCATTATTTATAACGGATTCCTGAAGGACGGCCCGAGTCAGATGAGATTCCTTTCAATCCTTCCACTTCCCAATGGCAAGGCAGACACCATTACCAACAGCTTCAAGAACTTCAACTTAACGGGGGGGAATCACGTGACTTTGTATAGTAATACCCACGAGAAAATGGCGACTACTGAGCCCCGGTAAGTACCTTATTATGTTAAATTAAGGTGACAAACGTTTCTTAAATCAAAACAAAACCTAGCGTATCATATGCGCGTTAATTTTCTTTAAATGACAATACAAAGTGCATTATCCTACGTTTTGTGGTTTTTGAGAACATTGTTTGAATTGTGTGAAAATTGCACATTCAGCCATAGTAATTTGCACGAAGCGATATAACTTGGTACCAAAATAAATGAAAATAAGCCTTCTTTTTGCACTTAAGACACCAAAATCAATCATTTTATTGACATCTGTTCTTGTAGAATTCCATATAAAAATTTTGTTCGAAGGTCTGTAGCCTACAAATGTTCTTTGTAAGTGTTTAGTAAGTAAAACGAACAATATCTGGATAGTAAGTTACACGAAAACAAAATAGTAAGTTTCACGCACAGTTTCCAATAGCTTACTTAAATGTGACGAAACTATTTTATAATTCTTTTGGTTTCAAATTTTGCAAGTGTGTTCCGTCTACGGTGACAGAGAAAACAAATATCGAGAGAGTATTTTTAATAATAATTCATATTATTTCATAATACATGTGTTCATATTCATATAATTTCATAAAAGATTACTTAACTTAAAATAACTAAATGAGACATTGATATTGATACTCAACAATGTACGTTACACTTGACCCTTTTTCACGTTAGACTGGACCCACATCCGTTATCTTTAGAACTAGATTTATAAAGAAATAACTGTGCAGAAGGAAATATTACAACACCATCATTTATTTTTCAGTATCTGCAATTTGGACCAAAAACGCAAAGGAGAAGACATTCGCCATTTAACATTAATATTTAATGCCATCATAGAACTGGTATACAAAGTTTTTATTAAATTTTATTCTTTTATACACTGGCAGATTTTATAAATAAAACCAAAAAGTTTTGTTAAAATGTTATGTATTACGTTTATTTTCTTACCATGTGCAAATGTGTTGCGTCGTAAACTCTTACTTTTTGTTTGTGATAGAGTAAGTAAATAAGATATTCAGTGCGTCCATGGCCGAGTGTTTAAAGTCCCTGATTTTTATACACATGCTTCTCACCGCTATGGAATCCTAGTCCGACCAGAGTCCTTGAATTCTTTCATCAAACTAGCTAACAAAACGTCGGTGCTTTAACTCAGGTGTCCCGACATTGACGGTGTGATTTGAAACCCAGCATCTAAGATTGTTTTATGTAAATATTTTTTTCACCACTTGCCTTCATATCTTTGACCGTTTGATTTCAAATATTTGTTTTTCTTTGAAGGTCCATTATGCCTCTTAAATGCTATCATTTTTATTTGAAAAAAAAAACTGTTTATTTTTGGTATATCTTGTTACAGTTTCCGAAAACATACTCATTTGCTAGATACTCAAACTATCTTTTACATCTTTGGTTCTGTTGGAAAATGGTATACCTTTAGTGAATAAGTATTTCGTATGGAAGTCAAAATACTACTTTGTTTACATTTTGCTACCTTAGCGACACATCACTTAATATAATGTTCAGTGCTACCTTTTTCAGTTGTAAGAAAATACTATCATACGTTTTATCCATTATTTAAACATTATCAAACACATGTTTGACATTTCTAAAGAATTAAAACAATGGATTTATGAGGAACAATGTGCCTTTAATCATAACTTGTATCACCGTATCATTGTTGTTTGTTGTTGTTGTTTTTTGTTGTTGTTTTTTTGTAAGAAGTTATTTTGTTCTTGCGAATTCTTCAATATATTTTCATAAATTAAGTAACATAGTGACAAATAGCGCCATATAAAAAGATCGATCAGTATTCAGTTAATAAATATCACCATACCAATTAACAAGCAATTATATTTGTTCATTACAGTAAAATGAGGACCAAGACACACCTGAAACTGCAGAGGTCAAAGAACTACTATCGCCACAGAAAATTAACACTGAGCCGTGTAATATCAAATCCCATCAAAAGTTCATTTGATATATTATAATAACAACCAATTCAGCATTCGTCCTGTAGACAAAAAAAACTTGAAAAAAGTGAAATATTTGATCTTGAATAATTGAAATAAGTATTTTCTATCTCTTAACATATGAACTTTTACTTTCTTTTAATGTATATGTATGCTAATGGAAACTGTGCGTGAAACTTACTATTTTGTTTTCGTGTAACTTACTATCCAGAAATTGTTCGTTTTACTTACTATACATTTGCAAAGAACATTTGTAGGATACAGACCTTCAAAAATATATTTTATATGAACTTCTACGATAACAGATGTCAATAAAATGATTGATTTTGTGTCTTAAGTGCAGAAAGTAAGTTTATTTTCATTTATTTTGGTACCAAATTATATCGCTTCGTGCGAATTACTATCGCTGAATGTGCAATTTTCACACAATTCAAACAATGTTCTCAAAAACCACAAAACGTAGAATAATGCGCTTTGTATTGTCATTTGAAGAAAATTAACGCGCATATGATACCCTAGGTTTTGTTTTGATTTAAGAAACGTTTGTCACCTTAATTTAACATAATAAGGTACTTACCGGGGCTCAGCAGTCGCCATTTTCTCGTGGGTATTACTATACAAAGTCACGTGATTCCCCCCCGTGAACTTCCACTCATCAAGATGTGTGCCTTTGGAAGTGATGGGGGCAAGTGTGATGGTTGGAGTGAGAAATTGTGTAGCAGCTCAGCTGAGACAACTCATCCCTCACCTGATCATCAACCATTGTGTTGCTCATCGCCTCACTCTGGCAGCAGGACAAGCATCAAAGGGACTCTTCTACCTGCAAAAAGACATCCTTGGGGACCTGTATCGCTTCTATGCTAAAAGTGCTGTTAGAACGCAAAGACTGGGTGACATACAAGTAAGTGTATAATATGAAAGACAAAAAAAGATATATGTAAAAAGTATTTTCAGGGAAATCATGATCATGCTTAGTCTCTTTAATGTTGGTTCTAGTCTGATTCATGACCATGTTTTTTTTTCTTTATCAGTCCAGAAAGTTGACTAAAATTTGATATGAATATGCTCAAAGCTCTATTCAAGATGACATGATATGTTAAAACGGTACAGTCTGAAATTTTAATCTTTTTCATATTGCTTTCAACTGAATAATATCATAATTAATGTCCAAGCAGCTTACAGTGGAAAGAAATACTTGTCAGACTAAATAGTCTTGTGAGTCAGACTAAATTGTCTTGTCATCATATTTTGCTTGTTTATTTTCAGGAGTTGATGCATGAGCCAGGCATCAAATTAGTTGAGGCCAAGGATGTGAGATGGCTGTCGCATGATAAAGCCACTACCACTCTGAGGAGATGTCTCCCTTCTGTGTACACCAGTTTAAAGCGTGAGACAGAGGAACACAATGATTCCAGGGCAGCAGGCCTCTCCAGGTTTACATAGAACTATCAGTTTGTCGTGACTACACATGATGTGTGACGTTCTGCCTCATCTGTCTGACCTTTCCAAGGCTATGCAGGAAATTTTTTCTTCTTTTTAAGCTTAATAGTGGACTGAGTCCTTTTTAGCTCACCTGTCACAAAGTGACAGGGTGAGCTTTTGTGATCGCTTTTCGTCCGGCGTCCGGCCGTCCGTAAACTTTTACTATAAATGACATCTCCTCATAAACCACTAAGCCAATTTAATCCAAACTTCACAGGAATGTTCCTTTGGTGGTCACCTTTAAAACTTGTTCAAAGAATTTAATTCCATGCAGAACTCTGGTTGCCATAGCAACCGAAAGAAAAAACTTTAAATATCTTCTTTTAAAAAACCTAAAGAGCTAGAGCTTAGATATTTGGCATGAAACATCTTCTAGTGAGTGTCTACCAAGTTTGTTAAAAAAAAAGCCCTGGAGTCAAAATTGGCCCCGCCCCAGGGGGTCATTGATTTTCCCTATATGCATATAGTAAAAACTTAAAAATCTTCTTTTAAAGAACTCAAAGAGCTAGAGCTAAGATATTTAGCATGAAACATGTTCTAATGGGTGTCTACCAAGTTTGTTCAAATAAAAGCCCTGGGGTCAAAATTGGCCCCGCCCCAGGGGGTCATTGATTTTCCCTATATGCATATAGTAAAAACTTAAAAATCTTCTTTTAAAGAACTCAAAAGGCTAGAGCAAAGATATTTAGCATGATACATGTTCTAATGGGTGTCTACCAAGTTTGTTCAAATAAAAGCCCTTGGGTCAAAATTGGCCCCGCCCCGGGTGTCATTGATTTTCCTTATATATGTGTATATCTAAGCAAAAACTTAAAAAATCTCTTTGAAAAAACCTAAATAGCTAGAGTAAAGGTATTAAGCATGAAACATCTTCTAGTGAGTGTCTACAAAGTTTGTTCAAATAAAAGCCCTGGGGTGAAAATTGGCTCTGCCCTGGGGGTCATTGATTTTCCATATATGTGTATAGCAAAAACTTAAATATCTTCTTTGAAAAAACCCAAATAGCTAGAGTTAAGATATTAAGCATGAAACATGTTCTAGAAAGTGTCTACCAAGTTTGTTCAAATAAAAGCCCTGGAGTCAAAATTGGCCCCGCCCCAGGGGGTCATTGATTTTGCCTATATGCATATAGTAAAAACTTAAAAATCTTCTTTTAAAGAACTCAAAGAGCTAGAGCTAAGATATTTAGCATGAAACATGTTCTAATGGGTGTCTACCAAGTTTGTTCAAATAAAAGCCCTGGGGTCAAAATTGGCCCCGCCCCAGGGGGTCATTGATTTTCCCTATATGCATATATATATAGTAAAAACTTAAAAATCTTCTTTTAAAGAACTCAAAGAGCTAGAGCTAAGATATTTAGCATGAAACATGTTCTAATGGGTGTCTACCAAGTTTGTTCAAATAAAAGCCCTGGGGTCAAAATTGGCCCCGCCCCAGGGGGTCATTGATTTTCCCTATATGCATATAGTAAAAACTTAAAAATCTTCTTTTAAAGAACTCAAAGAGCTAGAGCTAAGATATTTAGCATGAAACATGTTCTAATGGGTGTCTACCAAGTTTGTTCAAATAAAAGCCCTGGGGTCAAAATTGGCCCGGCCCCGGGTGTCATTGATTTTCCTTATATATGCGTATATCTAAGCAAAAACTTAAAAAATCTCTTTGAAAAAACCTTAATAGCTAGAGTAAAGGTATTAAGCATGAAACATCTTCTAGTGAGTATCTACAAAGTTTGTTCAGATAAAAGCCCTGGGGTGAAAATTGGCTCTGCCCCGGGGGTCATTGATTTTCCATATATGTGTATAGCAAAAACTTAAATATCTTCTTTGAAAAAACCCAAATAGCTAGAGTTTAGATATTAAGCATGAAACATGTTCTAGAAAGTGTCTACAAAGTTTGTTCAAATAAAAGCCCTGGGCTAAAAACTGGCCCCGCCCCAGGGGTGTCATTGTTTTAACTATATGTGTATGGTAAAAACATAAAAATCTTCTTTTAAAAAACCCAATGAGCTTCAGCTTAGATGTTTAGCATGAAACATCTTCTTATGGGTGTCTACCAAGTTTGTTCAAATAAAAGCCATTGGGTTAAAATTGGCCCTGCCGGCGGTGGGGGAGGGGGCAGATCATTGTTTTTCATTATATGTCTGTAGTAAAAACTTAACATCATGAAATATTTTCTTATGGGTGTCTTCCAAGTTTGTTCTTTCAGTACTTCAGGGCCTCATGATGACACCAGGAGTACACTTTGAGGCAGCCCCAGATGGAGTTGCTGCTCTAAAGGGTTTCAGCATCACTGTGCCAACACCAGATCAGGTTATCAGGTACAAAGAACAGGTGTATACTCCTTTCATTCACCGGTTGATCACCAATCTAGAAGAAAGATTTCCTGATCTGTCAGTACTTCAGCTCTTTGATGTATTTGACACAACAAAGTTCCCAAATGGTGATCTGGGTAACCATGGAGAGAATGAAATCAAGGTAATATACATGTAGCTGAATATGTAAACTTGATTATATTTTAGCAAGGATATCTATTTGACTGAACTTAATTGATTAGTATTTACAAAACAACAGTATCTGTATTCAATTTTATTCATAAACAATCTTTAATAAATTTAAAATATTTAACTGATGAGCAATCTCATGTTATTTCAGAAACTAGCTGAGCACTTCAACCTTCCAGTAGAGTCCACTGTGTTTAACTGGTAGCAGGTATGTGGTGCACTACATGGCACAGACCAGAATGCAGACAAGGCCATGGAGTGGATCACCAACCTACATACAAGCCACCAACACTTGTACAAGCTGGCCGCTGTAGGTCTACTGCTTCCTCCTTCAACTGCTGGTAAGATATAGTTAAAGTCACATTTGCCTGTACAAATAAAAATTGAACTCTTTACAACTGACCATAAATCTGAAGAGCAAAAGATGGTTCTAAAAACTAGGTGAAACTGTAAAAGAAATTATAATGTGCACATGATATCATTTTTGTGTCGCCTCAACGGAGTAGTGGCAACATAGAGGGATCACTTCTCCGTCTTCTGTCTGTCCGTCTGTCTGTCCGTCTGTCCGTCACAAAACTTGTCCAGACTACTCCTCATAAACTACTGGTGCAATTTCATCCAAACTTTACAGGAATGATCAGTACCAAGTCTAGTTGTGCATATTGTCAGCATTTTCCGGTTTAATGATTTTTGTCAGAGTTATGGCCCTTTAATAATTTTTATTTTTAAAGTTTGTCCGGACTACTTCTCTTATACCACTAATGCAATTTCAATGAAACTTTACTGGATTGATCTGTAGCTCAAGTCCTTGTGCATATTGCACGGGTTTTCCGGTTGAATGATTTTTGGCCGAGTTATGGCCCTTTGATAAAAAAGGTGTTTTTTTCTGTGTGTTGCCAGATACACAAAAGCTTGTCCGGACTACTCCTCATGAACTACTGGTGCAATTTCATCCAAACTTTACAGGAATGATCAGTACCAAGTCTAGTTGTGCATATTGTCAGAATTTTCCGGTTCAATGATTTTTGTCACAGTTATTGCCCTTTAATAATTTTTATTTTTAAAGTTTGTCCGGACTACTTCTCTTATACCACTAATGCAATTTCAATGAAACTTTACAGGATTGATATGTAGCTAAAGTCCTTGCGCATATTGCACGGGTTTTCCGGTTGAATGATTTTTGGCCGAGTTATGGCCCTTTGATAAAAAGGTGTTTTTTTCTGTGTGTTGCCAGATACACAAAAGCTTGTCCCCACTACTCCTCATAAACTACTGGTGCAATTTCATCCAAACTTTACAGGAATGATCAGTACCAAGTCTATTTGTGCACTGTCCGTCTGTCTGTCACAAAACTTGTCCCAACATGAAATTGGCCATTATGAGGCGACACATGTGATCACTGATCGCTCTTGTTAATCTTTATGGGCCTTTAATTAATTTAGAAACAATCTTAAAAAGTTCTTTTAAAATAATAACAATTTTTTATATTTCTCTCTACATTTGAATCTTAATAATTTACATGTAGAAACTATGTTGAAAAAATTCATAACCTGAAAGTATGTTCTATTTCAGACTGTGAGAGGGGCTTCAGCTCTATGAAGAGAATTAAGTTGGAGAAACGTGCCTCACTGAAATCCACTGTCCTCAATGCATTGATGATGTTGAGCATGGAGGGCCCTCCCCTAGAGGCAGTGGATTTCAGTGAGATGGTGGACACATGGTACAAGGAAAAACCTAGAAGGATTGAACTGTAAAGTGTAAATTCAGGATAAGTGACAATGTGAAAATGAAAGTGTAAAAAAATTGTTTGTGTTAAACTGTGAAGAGTGGACTATGCAGATAAACAGTTAATGTATATAGTGTTTATAAATGCCTTTTTGTGTTGTTTTTTTTTTTTTTTCATTGTAAATAGTTATGTTTATATTATATATATTTTTTTTTCATTGTGTTGTTTTCTTAGTTTTATGATAATAGTGTAATAAATTGTTAAAAAAGTTACATTTATTTGTTAGCTTTTTATAACCCCCGAAATGAAGTTTGGGGGGGTTACATATAGGAGTCACTTAAGGTAGTCGGTCGGTAGGTCCAGCCATTCGTTGCATTTTCCTTGTCCGGAGCATAACTTGAAGACTAATAGTTGGAATTCAATATAACTTCATACAATGGTCAAGCACATTGAGAGGAAGTGCAGTGTACAAGAACCATAACTCCATCTTGACTTATTACAGAGTTATTGCCCTTTGTTACTTTTCCTTGTCCGGAGCATAACTTGAAAACTACTGGTTGGAAATCAAAACAACTTCATACAATGATCAAGCACAATCAGGGGAAGTAAAGTGCACAAGAACCATAACTCTATCTAAAGGATTACAGAGTTATTGCCCTTTGTTACTTTTCCATTGCTTTCTTTTGTCCAGATCATAACTTGAAGACTAATGGTTGGAATTCAATATAACTTCATACAATGGTCAAGCACATTGAGAGGAAGTGCAGTGCACAAGGACAATAACACAATCTTGACTACTTACAGAGTTATTGCCCTTTGTTACTTTTACTTGTCCGGAGCATAACTTGAAAACTACTAGTTGGAATTCAATACAACTTCATACAATCATCAAGCACATTAAGAGGAAGTGCAACGCACAAGAACAATAACACCATTGGACAAATAACAGTTATTGCCCTTTGATACGTTTCCTTGTCAGGTGAATAACTTAAAAACTTATGTTTAGAATTCAATGAAACTTCATTCAATGGTCAAGTGCAATGAGAGGAAATGCAGTGCTCAAGAAGCGTAACTCTTTTTGGACTTTTTACAAAATAATTCAATAAAACTTCATCAATGGTCAACCACATTAAAACTATCTTTAATTGTCCACAACCATAACTCTATTTCAGTTCTTTTGAAAGGTAATCTGTTACTAGTAACTTCCTCATTTCTGAAGCAGTCTTGCGGGGGTATTAATCACATTTAGTGATAGTTCTAGTTTTGTTTATGAAGACTCTTAAATACAGTAGATTTTGATGTAGCGAACATGGAAAATTGCAAATATTTAGGGATGGCAACGAATACCAAAATCAATACTCGAGTACTCGGTCATTGTTTCGATCGAGTACTCGGTTACTGGGATGATTTTCAAATGATCTTTAAAGTTTTATCACACAATATCAACACCCCCTGCATGCTACTTTCGTTTTCTATTTTAATTCATAGAATTTGTAACTATAAATAGAACTGCAAGAAAAACATATATAAATAAAAACATAAGAAATGTCAATGACAGCATTAATTATATACCTACAATTTTTTTCTCCCTAAAATACAGGATGAACTTGAAGCGCAAATATGCTCAACGGATAGAAAATTTTATATTATGTTAGTGACAAATACGGTACCTGCCAGACTATTTTTGACGTTGGTTCCAATCTTAGCTGTAACATTTGAAAACAGAAACCAAAATTATAAAAGGCGTGGCCGGTTTTGCAAAAATTACGTATTCATCTGTCGGTCATAAATTTATTTCTTGACAGCTACACTTCATTTTCTGAAATTTTTTATAGAAGTGTAGTATAATGAAAATCATTTATAATTCAGACGAAAAGGTATATAATAAAAGGAAAATTATGTTGTAGTAGCTTTTAGAGCCTATGCATTTTTCTACTCGCAATGTTGGAAAATTTATATTTCGCTCGACCTTCGGTCTCGCGAGATATCAATTTTTCCACCGCTGCTCGTAGCAAAATACAAAGCTACAACATAATAGTCCGTATCTATTTACGTTTTTTATAATTAATAAGTTTCGACTACAAATTGTCTAATATTTAAAGGTGATTAAATATCATAAGACGGCCGAATGCATAAACGACACAGGACTGTGTTCAATCCCATACGCGTGTCAAACTGCTGATCGCCTAGTTAAATTTACAATATCATTTCCACACCTCTGCAAGGATGTTTTGATTGCATTTTACAAGTATTTATACATATACGAATTTCTGAACTAATCTTTTTAAATCGCAAAAAAGTAGAAATTTAATATTTTTTCCGAGTAATCGAATATCAATTTTGATAACCGATATTCGGACGTTCGACCGAGTACTCGGTTAACCGGTTACTCGTTGCCATCCCTACAAATATTTGCAAAAGTGGAATGGGGTTATACCCCATCCCACACCCACCCCCCATTAACATTTAACCTTGCCCCTGTGCCTTAAAAAATTCCTGGGGAAAAGCCTGAAGACCCATGTCCCAAGGTGGTAAGTTTGCTATTAATAGCACTTCATTTCACAAGAACAATATTAAGCAATAAGTTACTTTCATTCTCTTTTCTTTTCATAACTTTCCACAATGCTTAAGAAACCTTTTCGGGGGCATTTGTAACTTTTGCGTGACAGCTCTTGTGTTTGGTTTGTCTCAGTTTTGTGAGTAGTAATTGCCCTTTACTTAGTATAAATTTGCTATTTTCAACTTGTTCATGCATGCAGTATAGCTCAAAAAGTATTTGACTTGTAGTCCTGATAGTTTACAAGAACTTTGGTCTGCATGTGTAGTTGTGCACCTTGAGGCTCATATTCTGAATTTGTAGAGATTTTGCCCTGGACTTAGTAAAAGATTTTCAACTTGTGTTGCATGTAGGTAAAAAAATATTTGACCTAGAGTTAGTAGATTGACAAAACAGTGGCAGTGTGGGGGCAACTGTGTCCTATGGACACATTTCTGGTTTTGGGGTTTTTTTTGTTGCTTTTTATAGCCCCCAAAATGAAGTTTTGGGGGGTATATAGGAGTCACCCGGTGGTCTGTCCGTCCATCCGTTGCATTTTCCTTAACTTGAAGACTTATGGTTGGAATTCAATATAACTTCATATAATGGTCAAGCATATTATTAGGAAGTGCAGTGCACAAGAACCATAACTCCATCTTGACTAATAACAGAGTTATTGCCTTTTGTTACTTTTTCTTGTCCAGAGCATAACTTAAAAACTAGTGGTTGGAATTCAAAACAACTTCATACAGTTGTCAAGCACAATAAGGGGAAGTGCAGTGCACAAAAACCATAACTCTATTTAAAGTAATTACAGAGTTTTTGCCCTTTGTTACTTTTCCATTGCTTTCTTTTGTCCGGACCATAACTTGAAAACTACTGGTTTGAATTCAAAACAACTTCATTCAATGGTCAAGCACAATAAGGGAAAGTGCAGTGCACAAGAACCAACTCCATCTTTACTAATTACAGAGTTATTGCCCTTTGTTACTTTTCCATTGCTTTTTTTTCCCTGAGCATAACTTGAAGACTAACAGTTGGAATTCAATACAACTCCATACAATGGTCAAGCACATTGAGAGAAAGTGCAGTGCACAAGAACCATAACTCCATCTTGACTAATTACAGAGTTATTGCCCTTTGTTACTTTTCCATGTCTGGAGAATAACTTGAAAACTGCTGGTTGGAATTCAATACAACTTCATACAGTTGTCAAGCACATTAAGAGAAAGTGCAGTACATATGAACCATAACTCCCATTTTGACAAATTACAGAGTTATTGCCCTTTGATACTTTTCTTTGTCCGGAGCATAACTTGGTTGAAATTCAAAACAACTTCATGCAATGGTCAAGCACAATAAGAGGAAGTGCAATGCACAAGAACTATTAACTCAGTCCAGAGTAATTATACAGTGTTGCCCTTTGTTACTTTTCCATTGCTTTTTTCTTGTCCAGAGCATAACTTGAAAACTACTAGTTGGAATTCAATACTATTTCATACAATGGTCAAGTATATTGAGAGGAAGTGTATAGCCCAGTGCATAGAAACCATAACTCTTTCTTGACTCATTTAAAACTTTTTGCCCTTTGTTACTTTAATTGTCCAGTTCATAACTTGAAAATTAATGTTTGGAATTCAATGAAACTTTATACAATGGTCAGGGGCAGTGAGATAAAGTGCAGTAGAACCATAACTATTTGGACTAATTACAGTTATTTCCCTTTGTTACTTTTTTTTCCAGTGCATAACTTGAAAACTAGTAGTTGGAATTTAATACAACTTCATACAATGGTGAAGCGCAATGAGAGGAAGTGCAGTGTACAATAACCATAACTCCATCTTCAGTATTTATAGAGTTATTGCCCTTTGTCCTTGTCTTTCTGGACTTATTACAGAGTAATTCAATAAAACTTCATCAATGGTCAACCACATTGAAAGGAAATGCAACATACAAGAACCACAACTATCTTTAATTGCCCACAACCATAACTCTATTTCAATTTCAATTCTTTTACAAGGTATTCTGTTATCCTCATTTCCGAAGCAGTCTGGGGGGGGAGGGGTTGTTATTAATCACATTTAGTGATAGTTCTAGTTTGTTTTCTTTTCCAGAATATTGTGCATTATTATGAAGGTTATGCACTCCTGCTGAAAAAAGTTTGATGAATTTCACGGAAATGTTTTCAGTGCGATATATAAAATTTTATAAAAAAGGGCATTACAAAAAAAAAATATGAAAAAAAAATTGTAAGTAAAATAAAACAGAATTAGATCATTAGAGAAATCTGTTCTCTGTCCAATTTAAAGTTTCTTAAGCAATTACTCAAAGTACATGTATAATTGGATATGTGGGGTGGTACATACCAAAGAACAACCAAAAGTGCAACACTTAATACAAGGCCTGGATAAGCAAGATACCTCTATTATATAAATAATTATCAGTAATAATAGTATAACCCTTTTTTTTTTCTTAAAAAAAAAATCCAGTTATATTCAAAACAGAGAAAAGGAACAACATATTTCTTAACAATTAACTGTTTTATTTAACATACTTATTTTTATCCCACAAGAAAGTATATAAGAAATAATATAATTTTTTAGTATGAAAAAATAGTGAAGTGACAGGGAAAGGTTCAGTAAAATAAAATAAATCCCAACAACAAATAAGTTAGAATAATCCCTTCAAGACACTTCTATTTAATATAAAACAGGTTTTTTCCATGCACACATAATAATTAACAACATTTATTCTAAATAACAAACTGGTTTTAAATTTCTTCATGTCACTATCATCATGCTTGTATACATTTTTACAGCATAATCTATTGTAAATCATTTACCTGAAAGTTTGAATAACAATAAACTCAACACTTGCAGGATTAATATATTGTATCATATCTATGAACAATTCTACCACCAGGGTTGTTTTTAGAAAATACAGATGCATGATTGCATAAAATTTGTATTATTTGTTAAAACTGGTATTTTAGATGTAAGATCACAACAAGTATGTGCTTTGTCCTTAACAATGCCTGTGACACAGGTTTTATTTTCAGTACATGTGTACTAATCTACTTGTTTTTTGAAATCTTCATCAATTTTAATAAACATCAAATAAATGAAAAAATCATGTTATAAAATTAAAAGTATTTTTTTTTATCTAAAATATTGTTACTTGCCTTTATAAATAAAGTTAAGCTTTAAACATATCATCAGCATGAAACTGATAAAAAATTTAAGGTTACAAGATGTCACAAATGTTTATATCACACAATGATAGAAAGATAAAATTATGTACATGATTTTTTTTCTATGTTTAAATGTCTGTTTTGCTGTTAAACTTTACTTTTGTCAAGTGCTGTATTGAACGAATTATTCTTGTACATTCCACATGTGCCTAAATGCTGAAAAATAAAGAGAAATTTTGAATAAGAAATATGTGTTATAAAAAAAGAAATTGAAGCTATAACTTGTCTGTAATTTCAGTGCTCACCTTTTGGATGTGCCAAATGGTTAAAACACCATAAAGAAAAATCCATTTTTTTTCTTCTGGTACTTACCACTTTTTAGTTTGAAATTTAATTTAATATTAAAAAAAGGAAAAAAATTGCTCTAATATGAGAAAAAAGTTTAAAGTGATTTATTTCAATTCTAGTTTTTAAGTAAAGAATTTGGTAATATAGAGGCATATATCATAAATGGTCATTTTACTTACTTCAGTAAATTTCTGTGATCGACAATAGAACTGTGTTGGCATTGTGTGGACAGATGGGTTTTTTTGACCAATAGTATTTGATGTTGTCTTGTACATAGGGTGTTCTGGTTTACCTCCATATCCCTTAAACCATGCTGAAATTAAGAATAAAATATATGTTCACAAATTAAACATGATTTTTTTACATTGACATTCATCTCTTAGAACTATTAATATAACTAACTAAAATTCAGTTACAAGAGGATATTTGTTTTGCATCTAAGATAAAAAAAAAGTATATACATAAATATTTAACAGTCAGCACACCAATGTAATGTTTTCACAAATGCCTTACATTTGACATACTATTTGCAAAATGTTAAATTATAAAAAATATAGATATTTCTGAAATAAGTCAAAATTACTTGTATCATTTAAAAGTATAGAACTTCATTAACATTTAGTTTATGGTCAGAACAATTTTACCAATGTGTGTATGTTTTGCAATTATTTCTACTGAAACATGATATTTTAGATATATATATATTTAATTTATGAAAAGATTATAGACTGGTGGCAATCCTAAAATGCTCAAACCCCAAACAGTTTCTTAAATAACTATTGAAAAGCAACATGAGCCAACCAGCTAATATTGCAAGCTTAAATAATAGCCTGTGACATTTTGGGTCATGTGTCTTGTGAATCATAACATAGAAGTATAATTATGTCCTTAAAAAAAATATTTGCGGTGTGATATAATACATGTTTTCTTAAATATTGGATACATACTTGGATTATCAAATCTGTTTGGTATATTTTTTGTTCTGTAATAATCTGATGTTTTCTCATTTGCTGCAGCCATCTGAAAATACATAATTTTTAAGCTGTGAAATCAATTCAATATCTTACATTGCATTTCGTAAATGTAAGCAACCATGATGAAATCTATAGTACAATAATAAGGTGTTTACCAAGGATATTTTTGTTAAGTGGAAAGGAAATCCAGGAAGAACTACATGTATTCATTGTATCCATTATATATAATTAGCATTAATTATACAGAAAAAGATACAGAAAGTTTGTTAAGATATAATCTCATTATAAATAATTGTACACCCTTTGTGGAGAACATATTGAGGGTTGACTGCAATAACTTATATGAAATTAATGTCTTGCAACAGTTATGCAATAAACCCTCGATATACTTTCAATAAATTGAGAGGGGGTGTAACTGCAGCTTAATGTGAAAGGTAAAGATAAACCTAAGGGAGAAGAATCTCAATTCCTGCATAATTATATGAATTATAAATATCCCTTAGTTTTAAGGTCATTTGGCCATTGAGTTACTATTCAGTCACTATTTCACTATTTATAACTAGATCTACTGTAAATGAATATGCTAAAATGGAACATGAGCAATTTTTCTGTTTTGGTAGTCAGTACCCATCTGTCCACATCTGTTCTTTTAACAAAATATATTTACCCAATTTATTTGAATATTTCTTCAATATCAATTAATATTTCTTTACAAATCACTCAGATTACTTCTTAGAGAATAACGGACAGGTCCAGGGTTGACCATATGTTTGGATGGGGCAAACCATATTTTGGGACAGGGTGGACCGTGAAACATATGACTCGAGACCAGGCAGACGGTGATTTAATGTAATAAAAATATTTAAATATTGTCCTTTTTTTTTCTTTTCTTTTTTTTCTAAATTATAGTTAATTTTTAAAAATGAATTTGTACAATATGAAAATGCTTAAAAATATACAACATTTTTTGTTTACAGTATGGATGACATGTATTGAAAAAAAAATGGAATTACAGTAGATCTATTAATTAAATTTTAAATTTATCACGGTCCACCTCGTCTCAAGTCATGGTCCGCCCTGTCCCAAAATATGGTCCGCCCTGCCCAAATATACGGTCCGCCCTGGTAAGGTATGGCCTGTCTCACGGTCCGCCTCGTCCTACGACCCTTCTAGCGTTAGTGTTTGGGTTATGGTACGTAAGATTAGTCAAAATATATTGATGTGCCACATTAAAGCTAGATTCAGAGATTTTTTGTTCTGGGTGGAGACCATAATGTACACAAAATATCACAATATCTCATCGCGAAGTACAATAAGTTAGGCTAGTGTTAGAATCTTGCTGCAGACAGCTTTTAAAAATGCTTCAGACATTCTAGATCTAAATTCACGGCTTTAATTATCAGCCGTGCAAGATCCGAATATTATCATATTGAAAATCATTACCTGTTCGCACTGCTGTGAATCTTCCATTGACATTATTACTTTTCACTGCTCTCCAAATAAGCTACCTATTAAATTTGTTAACTTGCTAAAATAGTTCAGAATTAAAAACAGTTGTTTATGTTGCCACTGACAACGGGACATGCGCAGTAATTGTATCCGGTGTAGTAATAGTCGGCGTCCATCACGTATGCGGAACTGGTTCACGTACAACACCATAATTTTATAAGAAATTACAAAGCTCCATAATTAATAAAAACAATTTCGGAACCTTGTTTTCTTTAAAGCAGCATGCCTTCAGATTCATGCTAATTTTCATTAAAAAAATGAAAATTTATTTATTATAAGTAAAAAATTGTAAAAAAATGCTGGAAACAAAGTGATCCCTCGGAAGCATTAACCACAACAAAATAACATAAGAATTGCAGACTCGGTTTGATTGAGTCTGTACATGAGGGATAATGAATAAGTGCAACATCCCTCACGCCCCCTAGCACAGACTTGAGCGATACTCAATTCTCAACACTTTATAGTGTTGGCATCAATGATCCCGAAGGACCAGACAATATAACAACACTGAAGTGAAGTACGGGGCAACTTTTTACGGCTGCCACACGGCACTTGACACCTGCTGTTGTGAAGTACAAAATTCTGGAAACAAAGTGATCCCTCGGAAGCATTAACCACAACAAAATAACATAAGAATTGCAGACTCGGTTTGATTGAGTCTGTACATGAGGGATAATGAATAAGTGCAACATCCCTCACGTCCCCTAGCACCGGCTTGAGCGGTACTCAATTCTCAACACTTTATAGTGTTGGCATCAATGATCCCGAATGACCATTGTAAAGTCAACAAAGAAAGAAATTCGCTTATGCTCTAATTCGTTACTCTCAAACGAGCATAAATCATTTACATTCTTTAATAATTAGTCGCCGGTAGAAACCGGCGACTATATTTGTAATAGTTTAATATTATACCTATGGTAGGAGAAGCCCTTAAAATCTGAAAATAAAAGCATATCAAACATTGAACAGTTAAAGACAACAATTATTTTTCAGTAATCACAAAAAATCAAACATATGATAACTTTGCTCAGTGGAATGAAATATGCACATATTGACGTCTTAAAAAGCAACATTACAATTTTCATAAAATGAATCAATAACGTATCCCCAAGGACCAGTCATTGAATATTAGAGATAATTTTACTTTTTTCTGTGTGTCAAGCATTAATATTTTATAATATATAAATCATGAATGATATTTGAAATGACACTTTAGAATTATCTGGTTGTTTATTTTTTATGAGACCTTTTATATTACATTATTTTATCTAATTATAAACAAATGCTCCCTGGTCTTTCGTAAGAATCACGTGACTACATGTTTATATATGTTGTATATCGTTATAAAATCTATTAATAGTTACAGATTGCTGATAAGACAGGTAACTTGTTAATGGTGGTAACTGATAAGATGTAAATCATTGTAATTTTGTACAGATAATTACATAAGTTATTTTTCATTAATCAGGTTCATACTTTATATCATTAGAGAAACCTGTTTACATTAAAACCTTTTCCTTTCTTCTTGGTAAAGGGTTTAACTTGGCCCTTTCTGTCAAACATTCGACAAGAAAGTTCAATTGTTTAGTTTAGGTTGAACATCCCAAAATAATGTTATGCTTAAGAGGCACATTATTGAAATATATAATGGTAATCGTTGATTTCGGTATATTCCGTCGGTTTCCGTCACGCAGGTTTCCAAAACGGTATGACGTCAGGGGTCCGGAATCGTATTAGATACATAGAAAAAAATAATAAACTATCTTTGTGTTGATAGTTTATCGCACTGAAAGGCAATTAAACGTTAATTTTATATATCGTATGTAACGATTGGATTCAACTAAATTATATATTTTTTCTATAGCACATAATAATGATGTACAACACTTTTACAATAAAATTGTATTGTTTCATGTAACTAATAATTAAACATATAATATTTCATCGTCACTTTGCAAATATTCGATGATCGGTAATTATTTGTCGGTAATTATCTGAATCTGAACTAGTAACCTATACGGATTTCAATGTATGGTACAACAGTATATGTATAAAGTAAAATTACAAGAAGAATTACCAGCATAGCACTTGCCTTACAAGCCTCAGTGGCAAACATTACTCAACTCATTGTTCCTCTTATTTTTATACTTGAACCATTAAACTTATATTTTCTTATATTTATGATAATACAATCATTTTTCTATCCGGCGACTTGATGCTTTAGCATCAAAATCTCTACTTGTACACCTTTGAAATAATAAACAACACAACACAAAGTTTAAGGAGGCTAGAGGGAGTACTTGTAAGCCGTCGACACTAACAAGTTTTTTTTCTGACAAAGTTCTGGATATAAAGCTACATATCAATTTCTGTTAAGACAAAAGTAAAAAAAAGCTTCCACATGACTTATAGTAATAATTTTTTTAAGCAAATACAACTGTTTAAATATGCCAAATACTTCTTGTAAAAGTAAAGAAATATAAACTTTCCAATATTACTGAATAAGAGGGTTTTGTAAAAACAGAAGTTTTTGAATATGTTCGAAAAGTCAGGTTC